TGTTTTAGGTAGGAAGAACTTGAAATTATGGGCCCTTGACAGTGAATGGAAATGGTCCCCTTTTTTAGCTGAAACAGTTATGAACATTTCTTTTAAGTATTATCTATACATGATTGTGTTGAATGGTCTAATTTTCTTTCCTTAGTTCATTTTTCTCTAATTTATTCGTTTATTCAATTAACGAATGGTAAGAATGGCTCTTGCTCCATGGTATATTATCACCCACACAATGGAGCAGTTACTTTTGTTATAAAAGTAAATCAGTTGCTCAAAGGTGTATAAAACCTTAATAGGTAATCCACAATAGCATAATATTCTTTAATTGATTTTACTGGGGTGGCAATTTGGATATGATACTCAGCTTTTGTATATACAAAATGTACAAAAATGGGTTAATTTTCATATAGTAATTTGGAGATACGCACTCTTCTATCTAGGAACAATGGACGAGGGATCAACGTAAAGCTAGCATGCACGCATCGGGCAGAAGACGAACTATCTCAATTCCATCTTTAACACATTTTCAGATGATTATGAATCTTAATTAACCAGCAGTACCATATATTTAGTTTTTTTTTTTCTTGAGTTTTGACTGAGTAGGAGAAAAGAGTAATAATTTTGTCTGTTAATATATAGTATTAATCACCAGAAGAGTCTCTAACAAAGGTCAAAGAATTAAGATATCTAATGATAAAGAGAGATTTGATTAGGGTGAGACAACTGTCAAGGACAGAGAGGTAGAGAAGAAGAAAGGGGTTTATTGGAGTCACATGATAATTTATTTCAATCAGAAAGGACCTCACTCATCAGTACATTAAAAATTAAAATTAAATATAATTACAAAATTTACCATACGTACTATTGCATTATTTGCAAGTGGAGCGTCCGACCGACCTTCTGTTGATTTTTAAAGAAGAATAAAAGCCCCAAGAAACAAAAGTCTTCAGGGAATATAAATATATATATATACATCCGGAATTGGTTTGGAAAAAATGATGGTTTTATTCCATTTTTGATTCAAAAGAAAACATCCCCATATTCAGAGAGAAAGAGATACCTACTTCTGCACATAACTCCCTTCCCCCCCCCCCCCCCCCCCCCCCCTTCTATTCTCTCTCTCTTTTATGCATCTTCGTTAGAAGGCATCATGAAGGTATTATAGAAGGGTTGTTGAAGCACTTGTATATGTCATCCATGCTTTCTCTACAGCTCTTGCAAGGAAAATTAAAGAACTTGAGAGAAAAAACAATTTGGTCTTTGTCTTTGGCTTTCATAAAAGCTATCAACACATATATATATATATATATATATATATATATATTAGGATATAAGTTAATTTCTCAATTCTGATATGATGAGTACTTGTTCTCAATCTGGTTTCTCAAGTACTCCTTTTTTTTGTTCGTCAAGCTCCTTAACCACCCAACAATCATTTGCTTATTGTTTAATCATTTATTTATTGTCTCTAATTCTCTCTCTGTCTCTCTCTCTTTATGTGTGTGTGTGTGTGTTGTGTATTTACGATCTTCTCACCTGTTTGAATTCTATTATGTAGTCTTCTCTTTCTTGAAAGAATAACTGCGTAAAAGAAAGATTTTTAATTACGTTTAAGGTCAGTTGACTTCAAATCAATTGTTTAGGGGTTGCTCAAGCTTTCGGAATACTTCATCAAATCAAACAGAAAACTGGAAGGGGCTGAAGAATGAAGATTAATGTTTGGAAAAAGGAACTAGGGTTTGAGCAGCATCAAAAAAGATAAGCGTAAGTTGATCTGATTCATCCCCTATATCTAACAAAACATTTTGAGCATGCAAGATTTTTTTTGAAGTGGACTTTTAGTTCATCAACCTGAATTTCATTCGTCATTACACTTCATTTGATCTGATCAATTCAAAACACATATGGGTACAACAGTAGAGACTGATTAATACGATAGCTCATATATATTGAAGTTCAGAAGAAACTCTCCTAAAGACTCAAATTATTATATCCAAAATTTTGGAACCAAGCAAAATTGATGTTTATGTTACCATCGATTACGCAAGTAGATGAAAGACCTAAATATCGTATTCAAATTCTTAACTACTAAATTAGGTATGCTACTCATGGTAGGTGCAGCATACCAATGAGTGAAAAAGAAGGTGCTAATTCTATGTGTGTGTACATAGCACGAGAAGTTATTTCTAAAATTAAAATTTCTGCATGCCTTCATAATCTAGTAAAATTAACAATTATCTCTTTTTGATCCATGTTTATCCTTCACCTTTTTATCCCATCTGCTACCTTATATAATGTATAAACAACAAAGTGTACTTAATTTTTTTTTATTACTAATTGCAGGATTAGTTCGGCTTTAGAACTTCAACATTCTGATTCTATATATATATATATATATATATATA